ATCACATAAATAAAAGAATTGATTGATGAGTTGAAGTATTGAAATTAAAAGGATAAAGAAATGGTCAAACTTAGAAAAGAGATGCAGGTGCAGTCCAAACCAGAACACTGTTAGGTAATTTGGTCATATGGAGCTATAGATCTCAGATTTAGGTCTACTTTATATAGATGGAAAGCTAAAACATTGGCCTAAAACTTTTATGGAAAGTTAAGACTTAATTCTGCTGTTTGGAAGTCCAAATCTTAGCAACAACGTAAAAGTCTAAATTTGTCCTACAGCTCAGACATTGTTTAGTGTTCAGCCCATATCTCGAGTTCTTCAAATGACCTCAATTCTTTTTTTTTTGAAAAGTTAAGATAATTTTCTATAACTTTCATGTGAAAGTCTAATTCAAATTATAACGTTATCAATAATGTTTTATTCAGACAAGAAGATAAGGATTGTCATCAAGTCAAGATGTGGCCACTCATCAATTAGTCATCAAGTCAATAGTTTTAATTTTAGCCTGTTATTACTCAATTTTGCACCCCATATGCTAGAGATGGTGTATCCCGTTTTGAACCGAGTGTAGGAGTGTATCTCATGTTTGCTAGAAAATTGACCAAAAAAAAAAAGGGGTTCTGCTGTTGTCGCAATTTTTTTTTTATGCCAACTTAGGCTCTGATTCTGACTTGGTTTCGTACGATATCTGACCATCCTAGCTATATTCTGTCACTCATGAAATGTTCAAAAATTGACCTATACCTTTATTAGGTCCTAGGGATCATTGTTTTTAGGGCAGATTCTCAGTCATATCGGGATGCTCAGCATTTGTCAGTTTTTGAATCAGATCAGGAGACCTTTTTGACCGACGAGATTGTGGCACAATTCTGTCCTATAAAATGATTATATCTCGCCCTAAATCCCTATCAAAGTTGTAATCCTACACACATAGATGGATTTTGGTTTTTGAATCACTCAATTTTGATATCAGAAGCTCAAGCTCTGCATGTTTGAATATCCAACGTGAAGGCAGGAAATTTTTGCCGCGAAAAGGATATTGCCCAAGTTCGCGGGACTGATTTGAA